TCCGCCCCTGCCAGGACCGGTCCATGAAAATCCTAGCTTCAAATAATCGTGGTCATACTTCCTCCGTTTTCTACCAGACGCTGTTTCCTCTCTCACTTTAGGTAACTTCACTAAAAATCGATCCATGTTGCCGCTCGCATAAAGTTAGCTGAAGTTAACTAGATTTCACTGTTTCTCGTAATATTTTTCTCCCGCTGCACCTCCCCTGAAGCTCTCTGAGCCTCACACTTTAAAAACCGCTGATCTAAAGAATCCGATAGGAACCTTCCTAAGCAAAATTGACAGTTCGATCACAACCCTGGCCCGTTTGTTTTTTTAAACCAGATTTCACTCTGAGGGATGACGTCACATGTGTATGTTTAGACTCTAGATGTGCACATAATATAACTTGTAGAACTATAAAAATGGAAGAACCTAAATCACTTTTGCCAGATAATCAAACATTGAAACCTACTTGTAGAAGTTGACGAAGGACTGGCCGGTGTTCAGGTTGATGTAGCCGTAGAACGGGTCTCCATATTGTAGAGTGGATCCAATGAATGGCAGTCCATCAGCGTCCAGTTTGTCGTTGACTTTAGGGTCCCCGGGCTTGACCCCGAACACCACGCTGTCTTCTCCCCGCACTTTTTCTGCCAGGTCCACCAGCTCCGTCTTGTAGATGCTCCCGTGGGCGAAGCCTCTCTCCCAGGATGACTTGTTCACGATCTGATATGATCAAACTGGGTCAGGATTTACTATTTTTCTACTACGGTAAAGTAACGTTTGTGTTGTACTCACCATGGCGTCCTCCATGTCGTAGCCTGTGTAGGAGATGACGGCCACGATGGCGTTGGTCCCACTCGGGTAGTTGTCCAGGTTGTAGTGGTCGTACATGTAGGGCCGCACCATGGGGCTCTGGGGGGTCTGCAGCCGGTACAGCTTGTTGTCGGAGCGGTCCAGGAAGGAGTGCAGGGGGAAACCCATCGTCTGCTTACCTGAAAGAAGAAATTAACAGATGAGAATTGAGAACATTTCATGGATGACGGTTCCATTATCAAAACCTCCTATCAATCTGGTCCTTTATCCATTTGATATGAAGTTAATCTGGCTAAATTTTTATGGGGAGAAAGATACATGCAAAATACGCAAAGTTCTTAAAAAAACCATCTAAAAAACAAATCAAAACATAAACCGCCTTTCTTTTTTGATATCCAGATTTTCGGTTATTGGTAATTAGTAATTGTAACAGATTCCATTTTTAAATAGCCCTCCCAACGCTGACGTACCCATCTGACACTGGTACATGTTCCTGGGGCTCTGGTTGTGGTCGGAGTATGGGATGAAGCTGGCCACCACGCTGAGCATGCTGTGAGGGAAGAGCTCCTGGTGCGTGGTCACCCCCGGCTCTATCTCATCCTCCATGATGCCCACATTAATGTAAAGCTGGGACAACATAGAGAAAAGAGGAACACATTACAGTTTCAGAGACAACACAATATGGAATTTTTCAAAAACAAATGGACACAGCTGCTGAAAATATGAATGCATGTATACATTATATATGTATATATACACACTAATATGGATCAGCTTGTAATGACAAAAAAAACACATACTTGTTCAAAGGTGCCGATCAGCTCCTGCTTGCCCAGAGCTAAGTTGCGTACGGGTCGTACCATCCGGCAGGGGGTGGTGAAGAGGAACACGCCCGGGTACATGCTGGCCTTTCCTGTTTTAGGAACCAGAACGATCTCAGTCCAGGGAGGGATCTTCTTCTCTTTCAGCACCTGGAGTAATTTGTTTTAAATAAATTCAGATTGACCTCAGATTGGAAAGCAGTTTTGTTGGAGCAGCATGTTTACAAGACGTTGATTATGAGTTAGAAGTCAAATAAAAAATATATACAGTAAATATATATAGAAATGAACAGTAAAAGGGTAAATATCTAAAGAGTACATATAGAAATGTATTATATATATTTAAAAATATATACATAGATCATATTAGTTGGCGAGTTGATTTTGGGTACAATTTGTTCAAGGGTATTGATGGGGAAAACAGTGAAATCTGGTTAAAAAGTAAATAATTAATCTATAAAAATGTAGCCAGAGGTCAAGTGCTGTAGAGGCCAGGGTTGTTGATTTTGGTTGGAACATTTCCTGTATCAGTCTTTGTGACAGCGGAATACTATTATTGTATTATATATAATAAATATTTACGCCCTGGCAGATGTGATTGGCACTGACACTGTTTAACTTGTACAGTTGACGTACCTTGAACATGCGCAGAGAGTCCACCACCACCGGGGCGAGCTCTGCCTCCACCCAGCCTACCACAGCTCCATCCAGCAGCACGGGGTAGCAGTCTGCGTACGCCTTGCCCGGGGTCCCATCCACCGGAGTCACACCTGAGACAACAAATATGAAATACACATTCAAATGTGTCAAACAAAGTAAAAGTACAGAATCTCATTCACAGGAATCCTGAAGTCAAATGTAATACCTTTTAAGACCTTTTTTAAGACCCTTTCCATACATTTTAAAACCTCATCGCCACTCGGAGTTCTAACCGGTTACCTTGGCGACACACTTTACCTCACATTGACTATATACAGTATTGATTGTCCTTCCTCCTTATCTTCCAACCATTTGGACGCAGACTTGCATTTCCCCATAACGATGTTGTTTAACAACCGGCGTAAACGGACCTTCGCGCGCTATCAAGCAGTGAGCGCGCGATGTCCCGTTCAGATGACGTCAAATCCAACGGGATGCCATAAATAAACTACACAGAATCACACTACACACCTACGCCATGATTACATTCAGGCACACTGTAGAATACAACCTCTTTGGACAATTTATATACTTATTGAAAACAAGCTACAAAATGTAATACCTTGGAAAATGCCGTTTAATACTTTTTAATAGCCTTCATTTTCGCTAAATCGATTGATCAACTTTTAATACTTTTTAAGAACCCGCGGACCCCCTGATTTAGAGCAAGGAGGTGATTTTGTGCTAAAAAAACGAATTTGACCACCTGAGAGTGTGTCTGCACAGTTGGTGTGTGTACTAGAAAGCCAATTTGGGTCAAATCCGCACCACAAAGTCCCCCTGAGAAGTTCCCATTTCGCTAGGAAGGCAATTAAAAAAACATTTAACGTAATGAATTCATTTCCTATTATTTGGTGTTGGAAAACACTTAACTTCTCATTATACTGTTTTATGTTGAACAGCTTTGTATTTGTTTCTTTCTGGACCTGATAAGCTGCTTCCACCCTTGGGTTTGACTGTATTTTACAAACCAGTAGTGCTCAATTCACCAAACCAATGCACTAAATAAATACAGGTAGATACAAAAAGGATACACAGTAAGTAAAAGTAGTGAGGTTTATCAGAGCCCTAACTAGAATACTAAAGACTATACCTTGGGTAAATCTGACTTTAATTTGGATTAACCTGCCATCTCCTCCTTCTTATGAGGAATGAGCTACATAGGAGAGTTAAGTAGCACAACGAGAAGTCACTACTCAACAGTATAATAGGTATTTATTGATTGGCATGGACTCATGTAATCCTGCCCAGTGTGTCTACCAAAAGTGTTCAATCTAGTTGAAGTTTGGCATAGAGAATCATGGCATGGTTTGCTTTGGCTCTCACTTCAAGTAATGGCCTTGTTCTGCACAATGTAACTCGCACTGGCACGGCAGATTGCTCCTCTACACTCGATACAAAGACATTTGGGAATGGAAAATGTTTCAAGGTAAAATCATTTCATCCCACTGGGAAAAAAATAACATATGTGGAAGTCTTACAGTCTGAAGCTGGTAGAAGAGGTTAGGGACTAAGGGGGAGCAGGAGCAGGCGATTGGCTGGGATTGAGGGAGGGAAGGATGGATGGAGACAGGTCGTGGCGGGGGGTCCAGAATCACTGCTTGGATGTGTGTGAAATTACACTGACAGTTAGACCGCTTAGGCAAAAAAAGCCAGAGCAGGGAGAGAGGTGTAAAGCGAGCGATGGCCATATTGTCACACACTATCAAAGCAATCCTCGGACACACACTAAGTCAGGAGAATATCAGCCACTTATTGCAGAATCCTCATGACATTGGTCTGAGGGGAAGGGAGGAGACACGAGGCGGAGGGTGAACACAAACACAGCGCTGATGAGGCGTGGTTAATCGAGTTTTGTGCAGCATGGCGGGGTCAGGGGTCAGCTGAGCGACAGACTCCCCTCGAGTGGCGACTCTGCCAAACAATAGCTCATTAAAGCAGAACGCGTCTCACACACACACACACACACACACACACACACACACACACACACACACACACACACACACACACACACACACACACAGTGGGCAGCGAGGCAGTTGATCCGCTCTGCTCTCCACTGTTAGATCGGACATGGAGGGAGAACAGGAGGGGGCCACGGAGGAAGATGATGAGATACGTGGTGTGGTTAGAGAGAGAGAAATAAAGATAAGAGACAGACAGAGAGTAGAAGCACTTATTCAGGACAAGAGACGGGTATCTAAACTCAACCCGGTAGCAACAGAAATGTGTCAAAAGGGTTGAGTGTAAGTATCATAAATGGCAATGCCTGGTGAAATGTCAAGTCTGTAAGCCTAACCCTATATTTTAAATCTTTTTGTGTCAATATAGCGCTAAAAAATGTATGCAATGATGGAGAATGCATATTTTTCTGAATACAACAAGTGGGGTTTGTAGGAAAGCATGTTAATGGTCCTCATAAGTAATGAACTGAAAAGTAGAAGTCATTTCACAAGAGGAAGTCAAGGCTTAGCAAAACATGTTTACAACATTTTGCAACACTCAAAGACAGGATTGTACAACTGTAAACAGATATTATGGCAAAACAAATCTTTCACCAAAGCAGATGTGAGCCCTCTGTCATCGCATAAATGAATGAGGTGCTTACGTCTTTTCAAACGCTCGGTCTTAATTCAACCTAAATATCATCATAGCCTATAGATCAGGGTGTCAAACTCAAGGCCCGTGGGCCAAATCCGGACTCCGACTTCATTTGATTTGGCCCGCAAGAGCTTGCAAAATATATAATACGTTTATTATAAGGTTTCATGCCACTTTAGAGAAGCACGATGTCCATAAACGACATGCCCCACAATGCATCTCATTTTGTGACATGCGCACTGAAGAGATTTACAATTATTTGCCCCAGACTTCTGCTCTCAGACGTAGTTAATTATGAAGTTATTCCCCTATCCGATAATAATCCAATGCAGAGGCCATCCATCCATCTTCTCCCGCTTATCCGTGGTCGGGTCGCGGAGGTAGCAGTTCCAGCAGAGAGCCCCAAACTTTATTTTCCCTGGCCACATCAACCAGCTCTCACTGGGGGATCCCAAGGCGCTCCCAGGCCAGCGAAGAGATATAATCCCTCCACCTGGTCCTAGTTCTACCCCTTGGTGTCTTCCCAGCTGGACGTGCCTGGAACACCTCCCTAGGGAGGCGCACAGGTNTAAAGTGAGAGAGGAAACAGCGTCTGGTAGAAAACGGAGGAAGTATGACCACGATTATTTGAAGCTAGGATTTTCATGGACCGTCCGCCCCTGCCAGGACCGGTCCATGAAAATCCTAGCTTCAAATAATCGTGGTCATACTTCCTCCGTTTTCTACCAGACGCTGTTTCCTCTCTCACTTTAGGTAACTTCACTAAAAATCGATCCATGTTGCCGCTCGCATAAAGTTAGCTGAAGTTAACNCCTACTTTAGTGGGAACAATGAGTCTGCGTCTTCGATGCACACAGGCGCATGATGCGGGGAGTGCAATGTAGACCAGAGGATGATCTGCGTTTATTCCTGTCTACATTGCACTCCCCGCATCATGCGCCTGTGTGCATCGAAGACGCAGACTCATTGTTCCCACTAAAGTAGGGGTGAGTGTAATAAAGAGGCAAAGTTGACTTTCAGTGTGTTGCTGGGAGCATATAAGGATTTATCCACGATTTTAAAAATGTTTAAAATAAAATGTTTAAAACATAAAGATGAAAAGGTTTTAAGGAGGTGACGCTACTCAGCCAATCGAATGGGTGCAGTCATTGAGTCAGCGCGATAGATTCAAACACACTCACAGACGAGACAAGAAGAGAGAAACAGTCGGAGTAACTTCAAATGGCGTGCTCAAAAAAGAGAAAGGTAGACAGCGAAAACAGAGCATTTATTGACATGTTCTCTTACTGGACCTCTTTGAAATGTAATTGAATACCCCTGCATTATAGCAACAATAATAATAATAATAGCAATAATAATTGGGGGGGGGGGCGCGGCTGTTCTTATGTTCTCTGAGGGGAGGCTCACCTTCCCACACTTTGAAAACTCCTGCTTTAGATGATAAGAAAGGAGCTTCACTACTTCCTTTATTATCCTAGTGTAAGTGCGTTTGGATTTTCTAAGCAGCCTCTTTTTCTAAATCCTGATGGATTCTCCTATCATCTTTCCTTAACCCCGTTAAGTTATGAACCTCACGTCATTTTTGCAATTTAGAGTTCCCTAGTGGCAGGAAATGACATATCATACATTTTGAATTCTTCACAGTTCAATTTTGCCGCTTAACTTTAATAAACTGTGAATGTGTTTTTCTCTTAGGAGCCAGGAGGCGTGCGTGGTGGACAGCATAAAGGTCTGCAGCAACGACACAGGCACGGGCCGCCTCAAACGCATCTGCATCACCATGCGGGTGCCACGAAACCCGACCATCGGCGACAAGTTCGCCAGCCGCCACGGTCAGAAGGGCATCCTGAGCCGCCTGTGGCCCGCCGAGGACATGCCCTTCACAGAGAGCGGCATGGCCCCCGACATCCTGTTCAACCCGCACGGCTTCCCCTCCCGCATGACCATCGGGATGCTCATCGAGAGCATGGCGGGCAAGTCGGGCGCCCTGCACGGTCTGAGCCACGACGCTACGCCCTTCACCTTCTCCGAGGAGAGCTCCGCACTGGAGTACTTCGGGGAGATGCTCCGAGCGGGCGGGTACAACTACTACGGCACCGAGCGGCTCTACAGCGGTGTGAGCGGGCTGGAGCTGGAGGCGGACATCTTCATCGGGGTGGTCTACTACCAGCGGCTGCGTCACATGGTCTCAGACAAGTTCCAGGTGAGGACGACGGGAGCGCGAGACAAGGTGACCAACCAGCCGGTGGGGGGGAGGAACATTCAGGGAGGCATCCGGTTCGGGGAAATGGAGCGAGACGCCCTGCTGGCCCACGGCTCGTCCTTCCTGCTGCACGACCGCCTCTTCAACTGCTCCGACCGCTCGGTGGCGCAGGTGTGTGTCGACTGCGGCAGCCTGCTCTCCCCCCTCCTAGAGAAACCTCCCCCCTACTGGTCGTCCATGCGTAACCGCAAGACTGTCTGCACCCTGTGCGGGAAAAATGACTCCATCGACTCGGTGTCGGTTCCATACGTCTTCCGCTACTTTGTCGCAGAGCTAGCAGCAATGAACATCAAAGTCAAGTTGGATATTAAGTGAATTTTGCCAGACAACCAGAAATATGTCTAAATGTGTCAAATCAAAGGAAATTATCTTATGTGTTGTATTAACATGGCTCTTGCTGCAATAAATCGTATCCAAAAAACAAACTGTGCATCAGAACAGTCTGTTTTAACTAGTTTTAGAAAATGAAAAAGTAGCTGCATTTATGATGGATATGTTGACTTTGATTATGGTGTGTAAAAAAAACAAATGTATTTTTTATATTCACACTGAGTGTTAAATAAAGATGCTTGACCAAGAATTTAGATTCTTTACTCGGGGGGAAAGCACCAACTGCACTCCATTACAAACAGTCCTGATTGTTATTATCAGGGGCCATATTCACAAACATTTAACAACAGTCAAATTGTAGCTTGGAGAACCAGAGTGAATCATTTCTTAGAGTACAGTCTAAGACATGGCACCCTTGTTGTATATATTGCAGCCCGTATTCAGTACTTCTCGCGCAGTTGCCAAGTAACAAGCAGCCGATAATCATATGTTTTTTTCTTTTACCATGCTGTTAATTAATCCAGCTCAGTACTTAATCTATTTAATATAAATAGGAAAATGTACAGGGCTTTCATCATTCTCAGTTTATAGAAGTAGCTGTGTTGGTCGGTTTGATGGGGGAATTGAGAGTGCATCTTTAAAAAGTCCTCCTTCCCTCTCCCAACAGTGAGGAGCTAAAGGACTAATTGCTCTGTGAATGGTAAATTCATCAGGATATACTCTTAACTATTTGGGGGGTATTATTAGAAACATCTTAAAAGTAACTCTTTGTAGGAGGAATCTTTATGAATACAGCATCAGAAGTATAATCAAAACCTATATGAAAGAAAAGTGCTCATTCTGCGGGAAAACTGTTCCTGTGACACGTATATTACATCATCTGAGTCACAAACCTAGTTTGAATTCTGCATGTCACATGTTCACAAGTTGAGTAACCACTGGTTTAATATTACAAATCTGATGAATTTCATACGTGCATAAAGTTATTTTTGATGTATATTCCTCATCCGAACTAGGACTGTGAAAATCAAACAATTCACTAAAGATATTACAATACCTAAAGAAAATGTTAAAGGAAAAAAATGCTATCAGTTGAAACCATCTTGTTTTTTGAGCATTTGTTTGGCAAATGAATTGGCGTAAAATAAGAACACTTAAAACTAATGAACAGTAAAGAAGAAACCAGATTAACATATCAACCATGCCCAACATCATATAACCACATGTATATTCTTTAATATCACGATTATTGTCCGTACATACACACCTGTTCTGACCACCACAGTAAACATAGCTGTGAGATGAATTCAGTGGAGTAAACAGAGCCGTACCTCCTCTGATACACAATAACTCACATTGATCTCATAAACTCTAGTACAGTGCTTGATTAAATGTATAAAAATGCATTAGACGAAGAAAAAAAGCACCTTGTTGAAAAATAGAAAATAATCGTTTAAAATTCCCATCATTACAAATCTCAGCGACAGTCCCCTCCTTTAACGTGTATCATCAGTTGTCTTCATTTGAGTTGCTGCAGAATATGTGGCAGCTCGAGCACAGTAGGGATGGTGAAGTCTGCTTTCACTGCACCATCATCAGCACCCCCCTCACTGCTGATCCAGACTGTAGCCCGCACCCCGGCGAGTACCCCCCCCTTAATATCTGTGTCCAGAGAGTCTCCCACCATCACACAGTCCTGAGCCTCCACCTGCAGCATCCTGAAACACAGCGTGAAGATGGAGAGGAACGGCTTTTGCTCTGCATGTTCCCCCCCGACCACGACGGCGTCAAAGAACTCCTCGCACCCGGTCGCCTCCACCTTCTCTCTCTGAGTCTGGGCCTCCCCGTTGGTAAGTAGCAGCAGCTTGTGTGTGCGGCGCAGCTCCTTCAACAGGCTGCAGATTTCAGGGGATAGATTGAGGAGCTCCAGACGGCTGCTTTTCCACAGGAAGTAGCACTGAGCCGCCAGTGATGGAGTGGATCTGCTGCCCACAGCGTCCTGGAGGCTCTCCTCCCAGTGCCCCGTCCGCACCTCATCGATGGATCTGCCGGCTGATGGGTCGAAGCTCTCCTGAGAAAGCTTCAGCTTGAACTTGTCACAGAGGCCGCTGACGGTGTCGTCGTCCAGGCCCAGAGAGCTCTTCAAAAGTTCTCTGGTCTGTGAGAAACAAAACAGATAGGCTTTCAAATATAAAAATGTGTCTTTATCAGTAAAGACTGTTGGTGATAGAAGCACATTTACTCAAGTACTGTGCTTAAGTAAAACATGTGAGGTACTTTAATTTATTGAGTATTTTCACATTATGCAAATTCATATAACATTTTTTGCTGAAGTACTTTTATTTTACAGTATTAGTCACCTTGTAGGTTTTATATAACATAAATCAACTAATATTACCATATATTAAACTACCCAGCCAGCAGTGTAAAAAATAATTACAATAAAAACATGAATAAAATAAAAATGTTGTTCCAAAAACATGACTTTGAAAATCCATATCCCTCTAAAACAATCGTGAAATATTTGATGAACTACAAATTATCATTCTTTACTATATTAAAGGTGACATTCTGCCAATGTTGTCTTTGGAGCATGTGACCAGGCATTAGACCACCTTTGTTTACTCACACTCAGTGGTGTGTATTTAGATCGATTGTGATCGAAAAGTGCTAATACTTTGTCAAAATACTCCATTACAAGTAAAAGTCCTACATTTAAAAATATCCTGAAAAAGATATGAAAAAAGTCATATTGTTTCTGAAAAATGTGTAATATAGTATGTTGAAAATGTGTAAAAAGTGATGGTAAATTATTTAGAAAGATATGAAAAAGGTAAAAGTTTATAATGTCATAGTTATACTCATATCATATCGTATCGTATTTAGTAATATTATAAAAATTCATAGTATAGTTTGTCAAAATATAAAAGAAGAAAAAGAATACTATAATAATAATAATAGTATAACGAAAAAGTAGGAAAGAAAGTAATTAACTAATAAAGTATGTCTTAAATATCAGGAAAAAAATTATAGAATGGTTTGTCGAACAAGTCTAGTATGTATGTCTTAAATATCAAGAAAAAGTCATCTTAAATCATTTCTAAAAATACTGATAAGACATAAAGTATTCGGAAATATATTAAAAAGTCACAACACTATTAAAAAAAATACAATTTTGAGAATATAGTATGTCAAAAAATATGAAAACAATTCATAGTATAATATGTTGAGTAAATTCAAGTTGTACTACCCCCACCTCCCCCTGGACACCCCAACACATATTACATCCAGTTTAACCCCTGGCGGTATGCACATTAACCGACATTAACATAAACATGACGCAACCTAGCACCTACATCACCTGTTCGTGAGGAAGTCCCTTTCACCTGAGTTCATTTAACACTAACGTTAGCCTCAGTTAACCAACATGTATGTTAAAATGCTAATCGTTCACGGAGAACAGCAGCTTTACCTTCTGTATCGCCACTGCTCCTGCACGACTTGTTTCGATCAGAGTGTTGTCCAAGTCAAACAGTATCGCCTTTACAGTTTGCCCCTCCATTGCCACAGCACACACTGTTCATTCGACGCTTCATTGCGGAAGTGCTGTTGGGTACACTGCATGGTGGGAGTTGTCGTTCTGATAAACAGCGGTAGCTTACTTGCGAGCTTCTTCCCCAAGAGGGCGCCAGATAATCACAAAACAAATTGATTTCTTTGGTGACAAAGCATTGACTTTAGCTGCTTCACTTAAAATCACATTTTATACATTTAATTAGCTAAACATGTTTGTCAGTTTAAGGAGTTACGGGCTGGAGCATTATTTATGATACTAAGTCGATTTACTTGAGCATTGTACTTATGTACTATTTTGGCATACTTGTACTTACTTGAAATTGGTTAAACATGTACAAACTACAAAACTTAAACTCAATGCATGTATTTGTTGTTAAAAAACAAAATAATACAATTCTATAATACTGTGAAAAACAGCCTTTTTTGCATACTGGTTACTATAATGTACTTAAAGTACATTCTAATGATAATACTTCTGTACTTGTGATGGGGTATTTTAGAACCATAGTATTTCAACTTTAAGTGGTTCCTAGTACAACTCTTGTAATACTACTATAGCCTACACATATTACTATGTTAAAAATACTTCTTAGCTACTGGAACGTTTATATAAATACACGACTTTAAAAGTACAATTAATTAATTAGATGTTACAAAAAAAGCCTAAAGGACAAAAAAATGACTTAATGACACACTAACAAACACTATAGGAGTGACTTATTTGTCAAAAATGAAATTTCCATAATGATTCCATTTGGTGATGAATGATGCAGCCAGCTTATATTACACTCTGAAATTATTTATAGAAAGGAATAATCAAAATAAGAAGGAAGAAAATCAGCATCATTATGTGTCTTTGATGCCCTGCCATGTGACTCTTGAGCTTGCATATTGCCAATCTAAACTCATATTCCGTGACAGATACTCTTTCTAAATCAAAACATAACTCCATTCTTATGCAACCTGTCCTTTAACTCGCTCTCAGCTGGCGACGGGCCAGAGGTTCACACGCAGCCGTGTGTTTCACAACCAACCTAATCCTTTCTCACATTATACCTCAGAGCATTGTGATTGCATGTGCCTGTGTCTTTAAAAGGAACCTGACCTTATTCTTCCTATTACCTGGGACAAAAACTGCAAAATATGAACCATACATAAAAAAACCTGCAATTATCTATCAGAACAGACAACACGTAGCATAGCGCCTGCATGCAAAGCAGTGATATGCTTTGAAATGACACTTTTTTTTTTCTGAGTATAACTCACATGTGTGAAGATGGAATTTCCCTTTTGGTGTAGAGGTGGGGGAAAAAGAAGCAAATTACTTCCTTAATAGGCCGCCAGTGACTCTTCCAAAGAAAGTGCTGAAGGACCGGTGAGGCCTGGTGTCTTCGTCTGCACGACACCTTCCTCTTTTAACTGTGTGGGTGGCCGTGGCTGCACACAGTCACACGCTATCTCTCAGCTGGGCACCAATCCCCCCCAGCAAAGGTTGATTATTCAGGGTGTCATTCCACCTAACAGCTCATATCCTCTGCAGAGCAGGAGGGTTACACTGCTGGAGAATGTTTGATCTGCTTAATTTTCCTATTTGTTAGAACATTATATGTGTACAGGGGACAGGTTTATATTGTACGTGACATATTCTGGTTAAGAAGAAGTTTCAGTCAGAGG